ATTTATCATTGCCGACAAATATTTGAATGAAAAATCTATTGTTCTGCAAGAGAACAATAGACCAATCACTTATTTATGTGCTATTGACAAAGAAAAGATTGATTTTGCTGAGAAACAAATAAATATTCTTGAACAAAGGGCAATATATGGAACTCTTCACGGAGTCTATAAAAAGGCTTTAAAAAAAGCTTTACAGACTAAATCAAGATCAAGGCGTTTAATTGAGGTATTGCAAGAATTTGCTGAGAATGATGATGAATTATCTAGCAACAATAGTCAAGTTGATGATGATAGAGAAAGCATAAGTGATAAAGAAAATCTAAGTGATAAGGAAGACTTAAGTGATAAAGAAAGCCTAAGTGATAAAGAAAATCTAGGTACTAAAGCGTTTGAGCTACAAAATCCAAAAAGAAAGTGAGGCAAAGGAAGGCCAGCTAGTACAAAACGACTTAAAGCGTCTCATGAAACGAATCAAAATAAGGAAAAACAACAACGGCGTTGTAAAAAATGTAGTAATTATGGTCATTATCAGAAAAATTGTGGTGCTTAATGTTTTATAATATACAGTCGATTCTCCAAATGCAATTTGATAGAAAAGATTTATGAAGAGTAAAAATATATAAGCTTCAGATATTGTCAAACGTATATATGTAAGTTAATAATTGCATTTGGAAAATCTGACTGCATTGTAGTATAAGTATGCATGTTTGTAATCTGCTTTGTTTATGCGCTCTATCGCTATGGAATTTTATTGCTTTTAATTGCAGCATTGTTTACTGATACATACGCACAGTATATATTATGGGCTACGATCGAATATACTTCATATAATACCTAAGTATTTAGGACCCAAGATAATAATTTGTTATATCGTGAATATTATAGACGATCTCTAAAAATAGATAACTTACATCTGTCATTATGTGTGCGAGATCTACTAGTATAAAATAGTAAATATGTAATGATAGTATATATGAAAGTGTTAGCGATATACTTTTTGTTATTTTTAATATGTTTTGATCACGTGATATAAGAGACAGGCAATGATCGCCATGGTGGTAATTTATAAAACCCAAAAAATATCTATTGTAGTTCTACTATTTTTATTATTATATTTTTTATAAATATTTTTATTTTTGCTAATTTTGATAATAAATATTACATATATTTGTTGTACCCCAAATAACAATTCTGTCTCGATTGCTAATTGGGACAGCCCAAATTAAAATTGCCCAAATCTAACCTTAACGTCTGGGCTAATTAGTTTATAATTTTGGCCAGATTGTCATCTGGGAAAATTGTCATTTGGGGCACGATATATTCATCTTTTTCAACTTTAATTTTATTTTCAACTATATACATTTATTTAATATTCTATTTAAGTTACTTTTAAATATTTTATTGTAACAAGAATATCTAGTATTAAATATTCTGCTAGCATTTCCTATCTGCTAATTTTGATAATAAAATTGTGCCTTATGTTTATATTTTTCAACCCCAATATATTTCTATAACAGTGTTTAGCATTATACATTTTTAAGCATTTTTCATATTTGTCAATTTTTGTTAATACAGTAAATTAATGCCTATGTTCATTCTTTTCAACTCCAATTCTATTTTATTTTTATCTATACTATATTCGTGTATTCAACCTAATTTTAATATAATAAGAAGAATTTCTTGTATTAAATATTCTATCAGCATTTCTTATCTGCTGATTTTTGATAATAGAATCGTGCTTTATATTCATCTTTTTAACTCCAATACCATTTTCATAACAATATCCAACACTATACTGTATATTCTATAAGTATTCTTCATATTTGCTAATTTATAATAATACAGTAAATGAATGCTTATCTTCATCCTTTTCAACCTCAATTCTGTTTTCATCTCTATTTACACTATTTTTTAAATGTTTAACCTAATTCCAATATAATAAAGAATATTTAGTATTTAATATTCTGCCAGCATTTTCTATCTGCTAATTTTTGATAATAAAATTGTACCTTATATTTATCTTTTCCAACCCCAATACCATTCTATAACAATGTCTAACATATATTCTATAAGCATTCTTCATATTTGCTGATTATTAGTAATACAGTAAATGAATGCTCATGTTCGTCCTTTTTAACTCCAATTATATTTTCATCTTTATCTATACCATATTCGTATATTTAATCCAATTCTAATGTAATAAGAATATCTTGTATTAAATATTCTACTAGCATTTCCTATCTGCTGATTTTTGATAATAGAATTATATCTTATGTTCATCTTTTCAACTCTAATACCATTTCCATAACAATGCCCAATATATAAGTTCTATAAGTATTCTTCATATTTGCCATGTTGGTACTTTCTCTTCAATTCCATTTTTATCTCTATTTATGCTATGCTATTCTCATTCCCAAACAACTTCTTGGACTGGTATTAAAAGGTATAAAATTAGAGTTGGTTATATTTGATTTTATTTCAGTATCATCACCCCAAATTGAGGGATCATGATGGATTGCGTAGATGGAAATTATCAATAGTGTGTTCTAAAAAAAATTTATAAAGTTATATGACATATTATTTATCAAATAAAAGAAAATACATTTGGAATAAAGTAACCAGTAAATATTTCATCTTTTGCATTTATACAAAGAAATGAAGTTACTTAAATTTTGTAAATTAGAATAAAGTAGATAATTATTAATTTCAAAATTAAAAAGATATTGAACTATACCAGGCGGTATGATTCTTAGAACTTTTTTAAAAACACATTTTAAAAATTTTAAGTGTTCAATTTGATCAAAAGTTGGATGATAATCACAATCAGGAAACATATCAAGTATTTCTTTGCAAAGGTGATCTTAAATATCAGAATTTGCTATAAGAAAGTATAGTGCCTAAGATAATGTAATACTGGTGGTTTCATATCCAGCTATGAGTAATATCATAATCTGAAATTTAATAGATTTAATTTTAAGTAAATTTAATAAAATTATATATTTTATATATTTTAAATAACTTTATATATTTCAAATTATTTAAATAAAAGTTTTAATAAAATTATAAATTAATTACCTGACTAACTAATTCATTGTGAGTTAATTGTTTATCAACGGGTAAGTTATCATTTGCTTTTGTCAATAATGGCAATAAATTTGTTTCTCGAACAGGACTATTTTTTTGTTCAGCAAGCAGTTTCTCAGAAATATTATAAATTGTTTTAAGAGAATCTTGATATTTATTGTTATTAAATATTAGAAATTTTCTAATAAACAGAAGGAGGTCGATAAGAATCATAAATAAAGGTATTCTATTATGATAAGTTATGAAATTGAATGCTTTAGATAATTCAGACTCTGTAGTTATAGAATTAAACCCTATTTACAATAAATAATATGATCATGATTACAATTAGGAGTATTATTAAAGAAGCTTAACATATATTAGGGTAGCTATGGTGCGTATCACCGTGTAGAACCAGTACGATCATGTAACAAGTTTAAACTCATACTCGCGTCTTACTAGTTTAAAAAGCTCTTCTGAAATTAATACAAATAAATTCAAAATTTGTTATTTTGAATACTTCAATCATAACTCTTTTTATTATTGATTAGAAGGAATCTGTTTGCCATCAATCATGGTTTCTATGTTATAAATATTAAGATATCTGCTTTAAATACATCAGTTCAAATTTGCTATTCATATTTTCTAATAAATTGTATACTCATAACTACTAAGTAAATATGTCGTAGCTTAATACTAAATTAGCTATTGTATCTTTGTATGTAAAACATATCTAAAAAGAAATTACAGCCTGGACAAGAATAGGCTATATCATTATATAGCATGTTAGTAAGACTTATCCGTAGGATCTTAGCTACTATTGCTGTATAACTAATCACAAAACTACGTAGAAGTTTTTGCACTGCTAAAGATAGATTTTGCAAAAATCAGTATAAATAAGTGATATCAATAATCTTGTATTTCATGTTGCACATTCATATAATAGTACTGATATAGCAGAAAGTCTATACTTACTGTAAACTGCTATATAAATCATACGAATTACTCGTCAATCTAATATAAATAATATTTTAAAAGAATTGACCAAACATTCGTCACTTCAAGTCTATATACGTATAATAATTGTCGCAGTTGATGCTGAAAATGGCTGATGCTGAAATTCGGATATATTTTGATATGAATTTTTTAAAATTTTTTGGGGGTGTTTTTTCCCCGCTTTTTTTTTATAGTTGAGTTAGTGTTTAGGGTTAGAATTGATAATTAACAAGTATATGTAGATTTTAGCAGGGTTTATATTTTAAAATCGAGACCCCAAATTTCAGCTTCAGCCATTTTCAGCATCAGCTGTGACAATAATTTTCATATATCTTATCTTCAAAATGCTACGTATAATAATAATTTTACATTATTTCATTACATAGTAAGAAAATTCTAAATGTACAAATGAAAATCATAATGTTAAAAAAAAAAGGATTTTAAGAAAATCAGCCTAAGCGACATCAAAAAAGTTGAACGAAAACATCCCTCTCATATTCATGTTATATATTCATGTAATCGTACTGGTATAATACAAATATAAGCTAATACTTACTAACAAGACCAATGATATCCAAAGTTATCTTTGAAATTACAGCTATAACTGTAATTCTTTTCTTTTTTTTATTACCAACTTCTTTCATCCAGACATTCTTTAAATTATGGTTGGCTTGAACAAATGTTAGAATCATTTCCTTAAAATTAGAAAAGTTGAAATTATTATATATAATTATATGGATTAATTTTTCTATTTTTAGTATGTTCAACCAATTCTATTTAACAAGAATATCCAATATTAAGTATTTCATAGCATTTTTCATTATTGATGATTTTGATAATATACATATTAATACCATGTATTCATCTTTTTCAACCCATCACATTTTTATAATATTTTATATTCGATCAGCATTTTCTATCACTGCTGATTTATAATATAGAAATAATTATTGTTATATACAGAGTGATGTGATAACACTATTGAGAATTAAAGACTAATAAAACAGTAGTAATAGATCAATATCAAAAATGCAAAATTAATTAAGTTTATGTTGCTAAATGTAATATATGTTAAAACCCAGAGTAATAAACATCAATTTAAAAACTAAGATCTCTTTTGTCTAAGCTTTGGCTTAAACTCAAGTAATTTTTACTTAAGCTTCAGTTTAAACTTAATGATTTTTATTTAAGTTTTAAGTTAAAGCTAAAGTTAAAATAGTTTGTGATCAGAAGATTAAAATAGTTTATAAGCAGAATGTTAAAATAGTTTGTATTCAGAAGGTTAAAATAGTCTATGATTAGAAGTTTAAACAAACTTGATTAGAGTTTGTTGGTGATCGCTAAATTACCTGAGTTACTAACTTGTCGGAGCTTAACCATCTATACTGCATTTCAGCTCTAACGGCTTAGTCATCTATACTATATAAGATCCAATAAAGGTATGAAAAAAATAAAAATAAAAAAAATAAAAAATAAAAGCAAATAAAAAAAACAAAAGAAAAAAATAAGTTAATTTAATAAAAGAAAAAAAACACTAAAAAATTAAAAGCATATACCTGATCCTGAAGTTGAGCAAAAGTTAAAAGGTGAAACAATGAAAACACAAAAAATACAAGCAAATAAAAAAAATAAAAAGCAAAATAGCAAAAGCATAAAAACAAAATAACAAATACTAAAAAACAAAAAAAAATACAAGCGAATAAAAAAAAATCAAAAAAAAATCAAAAAAAGAAGTTGATTTTAATAAAAAAAAACAAACTAAAAAAATTAAAAGCACACACCTGATCTCAAAGTTGAATGAAAATTAAATAGTGAAACAAAAACAAAATAACGAATGCAAAAAAACCTCTAAAATAAACAAAAATAAATATTACAGAATAAGATAATCACTAATTTAAAAAATAATTAGCTGATTATATAGAGTCACTATTTATAATTTTTCTAATCTTAATATTAAGACAAAGATATGGTAATATAATAAAATAGTCAAGTTGTTATCTTTCAAGTAGCATGTCAAAAGCTTAAATTCTACTAGTAATGAAAATTTAAAAATTTTACTTGTATTATAGCTAATTGTTTAGATGAACTCTATAAAAGCAGAAGTAGGTTAAGTAGCAGAATTTAAGCTAAACTGGGGTTAAACAAGAATAAAAACAGGAAAAAGTTTAGAAAATTAGAAAAGAATCATAAACAAAAATCTTAACCTAGTATTATAACTTTCAGAATGAATAAAACTTGAACTACTAGTAGGCTATAGTTTATATATATCAACTAAAACACAAATTATAAAATATATTCTTTAAATTGTAGGCTAACACAAATAAATTTGACTGTGTTAGTACTATAAATATGCTACTAATTTATTTTTTTTAATAATTTAAAATATTTAAATAAAATTTAGTATAATAATATTTGAAAATATAGATTATTTTTTTTGTAGTATTTATTTTTAGATTATAAAAAAATTTTAGATTACTTATAAACCAAAAATATCAGTTAGCTGATTTGTTATACTTATTTGTATCTAAATTTTTTATATAGAAAATTATAGCAAAAACATATAGAATTACTTATAAACTTTGAAGCTGTAATATTTCTTTTCTTATATATTAACTTTAAATTAAATTTTACAAATAAATATATCAAAAAAGAATAATAAAATACTTTTGAAACTAAATTAAAATTTTATAATTTTTGTATGATTTAAAAATATAACTGCTAAAAAAAAATTTAATAGTTTTAAAACAATAATTAAATATAAAATTATATCCTGAACAACTCCAGTTAGAGAATCAAAATAGTTATTTTAGTAAACAAAAAGTTTTCTATATACTAATATTAAATTTTCAGTTTTTCTATATATATAAAATTTTTTTTTCTGCTTAGATAATCTGTTCTGATCTTTTAAGCAAATTTGTTTAGCACAAAATTTTATATGTTTTATATCTTGCCAATTTTGTTTTTTGAATATTTTACTAAATAAAAGATTGAAGCAAAAGTTATACAAAAAATTTTTTTTAAAAAAATTTTTAAAAAAATTTTTTGTATAACTTTTGATCTAATCTTTTATTTAGTAAAATATTCAAAAAAACAAAATTAGCAGAATATAAAATATGTAGAATTGTGTGCTAAACAAATTTGTTTAAGAGATCAGAACAAGTTATCTAAACAGAAAAAAAAGTTTTATATAAAAAAACTAAAAATTTTAATATTAGTATATAGAAAACTTTTTTTTTACTAAGATAATCTTTTTTAACTCCCTAACTAAATTTGTTTAAGATATAATTTTATATAATTATTACTTTAAAACTGTTAAAATTTTTTTGGGGTTTGGGTCATATAGTTTATTGGTTAAGCTTCTAAACTTTTACAGACTAGATCAATGGTTCAAGTTGAACTTGAAGCAAATTTAATAAAATTTGCTTTTATAATTTATAGAGGCTATAATCAGATGCAAAGCCTTGTAGAAAATTTAAAACAGTATGAAACCAAAATATGAAATTCTCAGAAGAGGATCAGGTTGTAAAGTGTAAACACTATGTATAATAGTAGTATTACAGAAAGTCTAGACAGTAGAAGATTACATATATAAGTTCTCTAGTTAGGATAACTCTGAATCAACACTAACATTCTATCATCTTCATATTTGGCAATACCAATATTTCTACATCTAACTTGTGGAGTATTTGTTTGAAAAGATAATTAATAGATTGTGCGTATAAGTTCTAATATAAAATAGCATTGAGTACTTGCTTGAAAGCATGATACAATACTACTAAAAACTGAAGTAATTAGAGAAGTGATGATACATAACTATGGGCTATGATAAAGAATTATGTTTTAATTAAAATTAAAAACATTTCTGGTACCAGTAGAATAACTATAGAAGGCTATTTAATATAAAGAATATAACCTATCTCTATATGTCTAAAAGTACAAATTTGGAGCTCTGGTTATATTTATATGAAAATCTATCTCTTAGATTGTAGACCAACGCAAGCAAATTTGCTTGTGTTGATACTATAAATATGCTACTAATCTATTTTTTTTAACAATTTAGAATATTTAAATGAAATTTGGTATAATAATATTTGAAAATATAGATTACTTTTTATAGTATTTATTTTTAAATTATAAGAAAAAAATTTAGATTATTTATAAACCAAAAATATGCAATTTTAAAAATAAGGAATGGCAAACTGGGTGGTGGCAGCAGAGACCTGGCTTGAGATACGAGGCTAGCATACCTGGGGATACAAGTGGGAGGTTTGGGGCATTTATGTAACATAAGTTGCATGAAGGAATGCAAGCCGGCAAAAAATTGAGCAATGCAAACCCGTGATAAGTTCCCTTTCCAACATGTGATACCAATGCTTCTCATGTGAGACTAGCGGCAGCAGCAGGTACCTGGCTTAGGGTGTTCAGGATTATATGATGCGATAGGGCAAATTATGCTTGCGATTTGGGGTCAATTATGCGGTGGATGCAAAATAAATTTAAAATTATGTGAAGAAAATAGGCAATTATGCGATTTTTATAGTACCAAAAACGCATGATTTATACCCTGTTAGAAAAAAAATTTTATTATTAAGTCGACTATTAATTTGTTAGGTATCTTCCATAACAAATAACTGAAACATACAGTACGTACTCAGCACAAACACGGGGGAGTATAAATCAGAGGGTACCAATTACGGGGTATCTTGCCTAACGTTT